CGGACCCTAAACGTTAACTCCGTTTATTCCTTCACAGATGCTGCCAGACCTGCTGAGCTTTTCCAGCAATTTTGTTTTTGTTTGTGACTTTTGGTTGCTAGTTCAGTTCAAAATTGAAATCCACTTAGCAACTGTATATTGTTGGGTTATTTGATTGAGAGACTATACATGTTATTTATTTCTGGACCTTGCAGCTCAGAGCATATTAAACTAGACTGATTTTTAGTTATACTGTCTTAAGGGTGTTGGCCACATATGGTATGTTTTTGTTAAATTGCTTGTGGGTTTGAAACATGGTTTGTGATTGATCTTGCCCTGAGCTTGTGTATTTTACGTGACTGAACAATTTATCATTTGACTTTTTAAGTGTGAAATATGTGGATATTATGGTGATAGTTGTGACCTGCTTTATCTTTGCACAAGGAAGATGATGTTCATTTTTTAAGTTCTTGTGACATTAGTTAGATCATACGCCTGTAAATTAGAAATGAATAATTTTGTAATGAGATGCTTTAGTTACAGCAAAATGGTTTACTTTGTGAATGGCTCAAAGGTGATTATACATAATTATATATTGGTGGGGGTGTGCATTTAGTGGGTCACTTGTCCTATAATAGAAAATAAAGTAAAATTTGTTTGATACTCCACATCCAATTGGAATATTTTAAAATCTTTATTTTGGTTCATCTGTAATTCTATTAATTTCTGTGGGAATTGACTATTTGTTCATAGGATGTGATTAAAGAAGCATGTCCTAGTGGCTTTATGCTTCTTGGATTCACAGGAAAATATTTTGGTAAAAGTATTATGTTTTCCTTTTCATCAGGAACAACATTCACCATGTTAAAGTGAAGGAAAAGAACTCTGTATTGAACATGCTGAAACGATTTGACAAAATAAGATTTAGAGGACAGAAGCGAGATGAAATACTTGATCTAGTAGAATCTCCCAATGCATCAGACAATGAATGTGGTGATGAAATTCCTGCGAAATCTGCTCGATGCTCTATGAGGGATTCTGAAGAGCCAAAGGACCCTGTAAGTATTCATATTTTTAAAAAATGGGTGGATTTTTTTTCTTCACTTATGGTTAATTGATATACAGTTAATGCACTGGTGCGCTTGACTTGATTCCAGAGACTGTCTTGCTAATTTGTCACTCAACTCTGGTCTAATTTGATATTTTGTGTTCATTTGCAGTCTGGCTGGTTGTGTTGATGGCACTGGTTTGATAATTATAATGGAATTTTTAAGGCTTGGAAGAAGTTGTAAAGAAGGAAACTAGGGTAAATTTTTCAGATCTTGCTGTTTTTAAAGTATTTAATAGATTGGATCAGAACATCAGAAAAAAATTCTAATAATTTTGCAAAATTCTGACAAGAATTTTCATGAACTCCTCTAGAAGGTTCCAGAGCTAACTGAGTTGGTCGATCATAGTAGCAGTTGAATGAATGTATGTGAAATAATTATCAGGACAAGGAGAAAACAAGTCTAATTGTTAAATGATTTACGTAATGTACTGATCAAAGAGATTTATTTGATTTTATAGTTCTATGAAGCATAATGAAGTAGCACACTTGCTTCTGAGTTATGGATTCCAGGTGTAAGTTGCAGTCCAGAATTTGAGCACAAAAAATAAAGCTGACGTTGCAGCATAATGCTGCAGTGTTGAAGTTACTTGTTTTATATGATGCGTTAAACTGAGTCCCCATCTTCCAGCTCCGATAAGCATCAAAGAACTTGCAATATTGTTTTGAAGAAGATCAGAGGCAATGATTATCCCTCCTTCAACATCACAAAACCAGACAGAATCATGCAGTACAGAGGAGGTCGTTCAGTCCATCAACTCTATACAGCTAAAACATGCTACCACCTACACTGGTCCCACCGTCCTCCAGTAGGCTCATAGCCTTGACTGTTATGACATTTCAAGTGCTTTTCTAAGTACTTTTTAAAGGTTGTGAGGTTTCCTGCCTCAACTACCTCCCAGGCTGTGCAGTCAGCATCTCCACCACCCTCTGGATGAAAAGACTTTGCTCAAGACCCCTCTAATCCTCCTGCCTTTCACTTGAAAATTACATCGCCTATTATTGACCCTTCAACTATGGGGGACAACTGCTTTCTATTCACCTTTTCCATAATCCTCATAATCTTATACACCTCTATTAGGTTCCCCCCCTCAATCTTGTCAGCTACAAATAAAACAACTCTCTTCTTAGCTCGAATGCTCCATCCCAGGCAATATTCTGGTGAATCTCCTTTGCAATCACATCCTTCTTATGGTGTCGTAGACCTGCACACAGTTGTGGCCTAGCTAACGTTTTTAAAGCACCACATGACCTCCCTGTTCTTATAATCTATGCCACAATCGGTAAAGGCAGTGTCCATGTGCCTTCTTAACTACCTATTAACCTGTCCTAACATCTTTAGGGATGTATGGATGAGCACCCCAATATCCCTTTTTTCTCTGACCATTCTTTGAGTTTTGCCTTTTATTAAATACTCGCTTGTCTCATTCCTTCTTCCAAAGTGCATCACTTGACATTTATCAGGGTGAGATTCTATTTGGAACTGACCTGCCCATCTAACCAATCTGTTTATATCTTTCTTAACCCAATGCCTTCCGCCTCGTTGTCAGTCATCTGGTCAATCTTTGTGTCATCTGCAAACTTAGTTATTATCGTTCTGGCATTCTCATCCACATCATTTATGAATATCACAAGCAGTAAGGGAACAGCACTGATTCCTGTGGTACACCCAACACCAATCCCTGTGGTATCTAAGGTCTGGCTGAAATCCATATAAACTGCATCAATTGGCCTACTCTCATCTAAGTACTTGTATCTCCGACGAAGTACACCTTCTCACAAAATTCCACCCGATTTGTTAGGCGTGGCAACCTCCTGACAAAGCCATTCTGACTATCCTTGATCAAACCTTGCCTCTCCACAGGGAGATTAGTTTTCTCCTTCACTATTTTCTCCAATAATTTCCCTACCACTGATGTCTATTGTTCCTTGGTCTATCTCATCCACTTTTCTTGTAAAGTGGAACTACATTAGCTGATCATCTGATTATCATCACATTGCTGATTGTGGTAGCTGCCTGAGTAAATTTGTTGCTGACTTTTTCACATTACAACAGTGACTACACATCAAGTAGTACTTTCATTGGTTATAAAGCGATCTGATATGTTGTATGAAGTGCTATTTACATGAAAGTTTTCAGGATTGTCATTGCTTTTTGTGAAGCAGTGTGTCATTTGGGTGCTCTATTTGAGTGCATTTCAGAAGAATCATATATCATAGCAAATAAGATGACCACTTTTGGCAATAAAAATCTTGCTTTTGCGTATTGGGTAAGAAACAAAAATGCATTGATAGTCATCCTTAATTTTTCATCCCAGAAATACATGTTTTCCTTAACTTATACTGTGTGGGGACACAGATCAAGCAGACAATTATGTCAACTTAGAGCAGACCATGCATGGCATGCCAAATGATGAACAGAAATGAGTTCTCCAGCAAAAATAGAAAGGTGAAGTTGTTTTCAAGCTAACAGCTATTGATGTTTGAAAATTGTCAAGCAAATTTGCTGCAGTGAGGGAATGTTGTGTTGATGAAAAATGTGTTGAAGAATGGAAGAAAATTATGGAATCCATGCTGGAGATGTCCAAGATCAAATGCGTTATGAGAACATGTACAGGGAACTGTCCCGATCTTGAGAATCATGCATTGGAATGTGTCCTTAACTTGTTAAACTGATTACATCTTCACCAGAATTGCAGTGTGTACGTTCACTTAAGAATCAAAGCAAGTTTTGAGTACAGCTAAGTCTTCAGAACAATAGCTAGTTAGTGGAGATGTGTTATTGAACTGTACCATCTGGTGTTGCAGCAGAAGACGAAGAATGCAGAAAGACTACCAAGAAAACCTGTTGCCAGAATTATAAGTTACTGATTGGTCATCAGTCAGCAGCAAAAACACGTTGGCATATCAAAGCACTTACTTTGATATGCCTACCAAGCAAATTATGGATTGGAAAGAGTAAAAACAATTGTGGTGAAAATGACAACAAAGACAAGTCAAGATTCATGTTGTAGCCTGCATGACCAATGGAATGAAATTAAAGCCTCCAGTAACTTTCAGATGTAAAACCATACTAAACAACAAGTTTTGTGCAGTAATTTGTGCGTGTTGATAACAGCAGTTTGATGGATTTGGATTGAATGAAATTACGGATTGATAATGTGTCGAATAGATGTCCCAGTGGTTTGTATGAGATAATGCTGCTTATTAATGGACATGTCTTAAATAGAAGTTTTTAAATCATATGTCGAGAAATATTGTCAGTGGATGTCTCTTCCCCAGGGAGCTGTGGAGCCAGAGTCACTTTAGATTTTTAAGGCAGAGGTAGATGGATTGAAAAGAGTCAAAGGGTTTTGGGGCAGTAAATTGAACTTGGGCCACAATCTGTTCAGTCATGATTTACTTGAAGGGTGGCTTAATTTGTCTGTCTACAAAATCAATGAGATCAAAAGAGGTGGCTATGAAGAAATAACACCCATGTTGCAGCTTTATTGGGGGTCTAATGAATGTCATTCATACTCTTGGATGTGCACTTCAACAAGCCATTTGAAGATCATGTTGGTGCTGAATGGAATAGGTGGGTGATTGATGGAAAAAAGAAACCTTCACAAAGAATGGAAATACATACACTGCGTTGCTTATATTTTGTTTGGTTTAATTGCCAAATTGAGGGATGCTATTAGTAGTCAAACTGTCATCAGGCAGGTCTTTGCAAAATGTCAATATTGAATTCCTTCGATAGAAAGGCAGCTGATTTGTTGTGGGGAAATGATTCTGAAAATGGAAGTGGTGAATTTGATTCATCTAATGCTCACCAAAGTGATTTAACATGAATTTGACGAACATTGTGTTGGATTTTGAAGACAATGAATTTAAGATGTTTTATTATTGTTAAAGCTATTGTTGTACAATTAATTTATTTAGTAAACAATACCAGATTGATTTAACATGAAATGTTATGTTTTATTCACATTTCAAATGAGATGTTCTGTAATTGGTGAAAATAAGTTTGACCCAGTTTTTGTAAGGATTTTTGGAGGCTTTTGAAATCGACTTGTAAGCCATGGTTTTGGTAATCTATTGACTGGAAAGCATCATCCTGAAGATGTGAAGGATGCTGAATACATACAAGATTCTTTGTTTTTGTACTATTATACAAGTATTTAACAAGTCTCCTTGATAAATATCACAACGTTTTCATTGATAAAAAAGTTCCCAATTTTGTTGAAGAAACTCAGTATATTCTGTTAGGCAGTAACTCCTTCCACCAATTTTAATGTTCTCTCCAGCATCCTGTAGCATCTAGCTGTTATATTACCCTTGCCACTTCACATTACTTCCGGATATTAGTCTTATTAACCTGGTGTTTCCCTGATTTGTCACCACATTCCTTGTTTAAAGATCATTATTGTATTGACTAGCGTACTTGATTCCAGAGTCAGTCAGATCATTTTTGATTATATGTTCAATGGTGCATTTCTTGTAATAGCACAGATGATCTTTGATTTTGTGTGTTTACTTCTTTCAACTGTGGCAAACTGATGTTTGCATTTTGTAAATTTTCTCATGGACAAAGTGTTCTGGAAGTCCATGAACCAAAGTAATAGGCTTGTGTCAACCTGTTCTGGTCACATTTTGGGACTCTTGACCAGGTGGAGTCTGGTATCTGGTTGTTACTGGGAACATGTTGGATTTGACTCTTTCTGAGCACATGTTCCAAATATCTTCTGTTAAGGAGACTGGTAACTAGAATTTCTAGATTTAAAATAGTTGACAAAAGAAGCAGAAGGATCTGAAGAAGGGTCCAGACCCGAAACGTCAGCTTTCCTGCTCCTCTGTTGCTGATTGGCCTGCTGTGTTCATCCAGCTCTACACCTTGTTATCCCAGAAGGGAAATGAATTTTTTTTCCACGCAGAAGATTGAGATTTGGAATGCATTATCTGAAAGTG